GATACATTGACAAAGGCACAAAAGTAGCACCATTTTGCATTTTAAGCTTTAAATATATATTTTTTGTGTGTGTAATACGTTTTTGCATCGGATGACATTAAAGTGCATTTAAGTAATGTGTCAGGTAGATGACGCTCAAATATGGATTCTTAATCCTTACTGACCAACTTTACAACTTTTGAACCTTGACGACTGGTACACTTTCTGAGATGAAAAAAATAAGATCCAGCCACACACTTTTATGTTGCAGAAATAATGACCATCGTTAGCAATGGTTTTCTTGCGAGCGATCACGGGCCACTATCGCTCTCTTGTTTATGATAAACATATAATTGCTTTATTGAACACAGTGACGAAAACATTTCTCTCATCCGGCTGTTTGATTAAATATAAATTGGAATTTGTTTGCGATTCAGACAACGAATAACTAACTTTGCAGACGGGATTGTCAAAAGGGTATGTTTATCTACAATGTTTGTATAAATTAACTGATTTGTCACATTATCACAATAAAATTATTTTTGTTTCGCAGTGGAAGTTATTTTTTAATTGGCGGTTAACGTCTGAATTAAACTGTATGTAATCATGTTAAATTCGGAATTTTTGATTACAATGTAGTAATCTCTTAAAATATTTCCATCATTCATAGATGGTGTACTCTAATCAAAATTTATTCCCTAAGATATGTTTCTGTAATTCTTTGAAAGAAAAATATTCTTCTTTCATTTCTTACAGATAGAGCTTATCATCAAGTTTGTCTTTGTAGTCCTTTGTGGTCATTTCTTGAGCATTGGCGTAAATGGATCAACGTTTACTTCCGGTGAATGCATTGAAGCGTGCAGAGACACTACGTCATCAAGCAGCTTGCGTAAAAAGTGTTACGCATGCGCAGAGGACCCGCCGCTTAATTATCAGTTGTGCAGTAACGTATGCGTGAATACGCTTTCAAATCCACTCGTCAAGTTGTGTAATAAATGCGGCACAGATGTACCTTTAACAGATCTAATGTGTATCACAGCTTGTGGGAAAACATATGACAGAAATTTTAAGAAAATATGCAATCGTTGTGGTAATGCGCCTCCAGTAACCCCTTTAATGATACTTCACTCCTGCTTTAAGAAACCTCCTACAACCTACCTTAATACCATTTGTGACGCAATATGCAGCAAACCTCCGTCACCTTGGTCGGGCCTTTGTGTGCTAGTTAATCTTGGTAACTCTACGCCTTAGAGTATTTGTTCGATGGAATATTTCGATTTTCAGTGATTTTACTAAAACATGTTGACATTTGAAAATAGGTATATATTATTTTGTTCTTTAGTTGTCAAAGTAATAATAAATGTAATGAATAACATTTCACGTTGTGGCCCTAACCAATCAGGCGGAGAAAACAGGCGTTATTGTTATTCAATATATACGGAGCACAAAAGGGCATTGTGGGTTGTTTTTTTTTTTTTTTTTTTTTTTTTTTCGCTCACTCGGGACAACAATATAACTTACCAATCAGTGTGTTAGATTTATCTGGTGGCCACGAGTCAAGTAAACAAATCAACATCACAGAGAAATTAATTCCAACATATCAATTCGTGAACACGAGTGGGCATTTGTTTGGTTCTGTATTAGTTGTTATGTTGTATCCATGAGATAATACCGGTATATCATACATATCACATTGATAAACATATTTACTTACTTTAATTTTCGTTACCATACTCTTTAAATGTTCCGTTGCAAAGTAGACTTAAAAGCACTGTTGTGCCACATCTGTTCCAACCGGTAATTATACTTTGAGCGAAAAAGCTTGCAAGATATGTTTCGGTTAATATTTTATGAACGAACATAATTATATACAATTATAAATCTTGGAAATGTCACGTGATAGCTGGAAGCATTATTCGAAGTATTTGTATATATATAACTCATGTAAACTATATTCTATTCATTTCTAATAGCAAATTTATAAACTCTCTGTGTTTCAATCGTCTATATTTGTGAATAAATTTGCTTTTTCATGGCCATTATGCTATTGTCTTTCTATACAGAATGGAATCAAAGCTGTTTTCATTTTTATAGAATAAGTCTAAAGAACCGGTGCTTTGATAAGAGCACCAACATTCATCTATATATTATCAACCGTAATAGGTTTCAGTTATACACACCCTGTTTAAAATAATTTGCACCCAAATTTTTTTATTTCTGTAAGAAAATACGGAAAAAAAGATTCTGTTCTTTTTTAAGAAAAGTTAAAGGGCCCCAGAATTTTAATCATTCTAGTATGTTAATTTTTTAAACTAAATTCGAGCCCCCTGAACATAAGAAATAACAAAACGCAAATTTCCGACAATTTTTTTTAAACACCCGGCATCCGTTAAAAAATGAAGTGCAGAGAAAGTTTCCGTGAATGATGACACCCATTCCAGCGTTAATGGTCTCAAAATGGCAAACACATCTGTGGACCTAATATACCAATGTTTGCCGATTTAATTGATACAGCTATGGATAATATACCAGTAAAAAGAGGCCAACAATCTTGTTAATGTATAAGCCTTCTCTCAGTAAAAAATAGGCCAACAATCCTGTAAATTTTAAGCCTTCCCTAAGTAAAAATGGGTCAAAATCCTGTAAATTTAATAGCCTTCACTCAGTAAAATTAGGCCAACAACCTTGTAAATTTAAATAGTCTATCTTCGAAAAAAAGTCCAACAATCCTGTAAATTTATCAGCCTTCCCACAGTAAAAATAGGCCAACAATCCTGTAAATTTATCAGCCTTCCCACAGTAAAAATAGGCCAACAATCCTGTAAATTCATCAGCCTTCCCACAGTAAAAAAGTCCAACAATCCTGTAAATTTATCAGCCTTCCCACAGTAAAAATAGGCCAACAATCCTGTAAATTTATCAGCCTTCCCACAGTAAAAAATAGGCTAACAATCCTGTAAATTTATCAGCCTTCCCACAGTAAAAATAGGCCAACAATCCTGTAAATTTATCAGCCTTCCCACAGTAAAAATAGGCCAACAATCCTGTAAATTTATTAATCTTCCCACAGTAAAAATAGGCCAACAATCCTGTAAATTTATTAGACTTCCCACAGTAAAAATAGGCCAACAATCCTGTAAATTTATCAGCCTTCCCACAGTAAAAAATAGGCCAACAATCCTGTAAATTTTAAGCCTTCCCTAAGTAAAAATGGGTCAAAAATCCTGTAAATTTAATAGCCTTCACTCAGTAAAATTAGGCCAACAACCTTGTAAATTTAATAGTCTATCTTCGAAAAAAAGTCCAACAATCCTGTAAATTTATCAGCCTTCCCACAGTAAAAATAGGCCAACAATCCTGTAAATTTATCAGCCTTCCCACAGTAAAAATAGGCTAACAATCCTGTAAATTTATTAATCTTCCCACTGTAAAAATAGGCCAACAATCCTGTAAATTTATCAGCCTTCCCACAGTAAAAATAGGCCAACAATCCTGTAAATTTATCAGCCTTCCCACAGTAAAAATAGGCTAACAATCCTTGTAAATTTATTAGCTTCACTCAGTAAAAATAGGCTAACAATCCTGTAAAATTTATCAGCCTTCCCACAGTAAAAATAGGCCAACAATCCTGTAAATTTATCAGCCTTCCCACAGTAAAAATAGGCCAACAATCCTGTAAATTTATCAGACTGTAAAATATAGGCCAACAATTTATTTATCAGCCTTCCCCACAGTAAAAATAGGCCAACAATCCTGTAAATTTATCAGCCTTCCCACAGTAAAAATAGGCCTAGCCCTTCCCTTCCCACAGTAAAAATAGGCCAACAATCCTGTAAAATTTAAATTTATCAGCCTTCCCACAGTAAAAATAGGCCAACAATCCTGTAAATTTATCAGCCTTCCCACAGTAAAAATAGGCCAACAATCCCCTGGTAATTTATTAATCTTCCCACAGTAAAAATAGTCCTGTAAATTTATCAGCCTTCCCACAGTAAAAATAGGCAGGCCAACAATCCTGTAAATTTATTAATCTTTCCCACAGTAAAAATAGGCCAACAAATCCTGTAAATTTTATTAGACTTCCACAGTAAAAATAGGCCAAACAATCCTGTAAATTTATTAGACTTCCCAACAGTAAAAAATAGGCCAAACAATCCTGTAAATTTATCAGCCTTCCCACAGTAAAAAATTAGGCAAACAATCCTGTAAATTTATTAATCTTCCCACAGTAAAAAATAGGCCCAACAATCCTGTAAAATTTATCAGCCTTCCCACAGAAAAATAGGCCAACAATCCTGTAAATTTATTAATCTTCCCACTGTAAAAATAGGCCAACAAATCCTGTAAATTTATTAATCTTCCCACTGTAAAAAAGGCCAACAATCCTGTAAATTTATCAGCCTTCCCACAGTAAAAATAGGCCAACAATCCTGTAAATTTATTAATCTTCCCACTGTAAAAATAGGCCAACAATCCTGTAAATTTATCAGCCTTCCCACAGTAAAAATAGGCCAACAATCCTGTAAATTTATCAGCCTTCCCACAGTAAAAATAGGCTAACAATCCTGTAAATTTATTAATCTTCCCACTGTAAAAATAGGCCAACAATCCTGTAAATTTATCAGCCTTCCCACAGTAAAAATAGGCCAACAATCCTGTAAATTTATCAGCCTTCCCACAGTAAAAATAGGCTAACAATCCTGTAAATTTATTAATCTTCCCACTGTAAAAATAGGCCAACAATCCTGTAAATTTATCAGCCTTCCCACAGTAAAAATAGGCCAACAATCCTGTAAATTTATCAGCCTTCCCACAGTAAAAATAGGCCAACAATCCTGTAAATTTATTAGACTTCCCGAATTTGAATTGAAAGGTTATGATGAAAATATAACATTCATAAGTTAAAAGTCTAGTCCTTTATTTCATTTAAAAAGTCATGAATCAACAAATGTATAAAAACAACACCAGTATCGCAATTTTTACTTACAAATAATAAATAAATAAATCTTGGTATAATTACACATTTACAATATATTTTTTTTAAATATCATAAAAATATGGATATATAATTACAATAACATAATGGCACAATTACTCTAAAACGATGTAATATCATTAGCTTGATTAAAACAAAAACAGTGCAATAATAAATTTCATAATTGATGTGAGGGTATAAATGAATAAAACAGGAATATCCTTTCAGTTAAAATCACGTGGTTAAGTTGGGTACTAGTAATTTCTTGTTGTATGGTACAAGGACATTTTGCTTTGAACTGGTAATGATAAATTAACCTTGACCATACACTCGGGCTTATGTCAGATCTTGTATTCTAGAGAACGGAGTTATCAGTTAAATTCAAGTTACACTTGTTATCGTTGGTCATTAAACATCGCGCACATTGGAAATCTTCGAGTACAACAGCCATTTGTGATTCTTTAGATATGACTTGTATAGAACACCGTGGTATAAATAATGAAGTCAATATCACTCTAGTGGAAAAAATGACTGGCACAAAAAAAAACACTTAAACTTATAAAGTTATCACGAAATATTCAAAGCTATAAAAACAACAGAAAACAGCCAGTTGAACTACCTGCCAAGAAATGACTACGACCTATTCAAAATAGTCGCAAAAAACAAATCCCTGACGACAATGTAAACCTAAGGTAACGGTCACGGATAACAAAACACTGACAACACGGTGTAAAACAAAGGTTATAATAACAACCACAGACAACGAAACAATTACCATATAGTGTTAAACTAGGATAAATATAAGTGCCGCAGTCAACAAAACATTGACATTGTAAACTATGGTACAGATAACGGTCACGTTCAACAAAACGCTTAAACAAAATTAAGATTAACTAAAGGTTAGTTGGGTGTCAGATTTTTGTAACCTCAGTGCTATTGTTAGACGAGTCTTCTTTATTTATCACAGAAACTTTGGTTTTAGAGTTCGACAAAGCTTTTTTCTCTTCTATTAATCGTTTATATTTTGGTCGGAAAAATAGCACAAGTATCACAAATGTTGCCGTAGTTTAACAACATGCCATCCACAGAAATGAATCTGAAAACAAAAAAGAGAAATATCAAAATATTTAATGTGCATGAAGTAGAACCATTTACCTATTTGTCGTTAATTCTAGTGTAATTATTAGTAAGTAATAGTGTAAGCTTTAACATCTACATATCTGCATAATATCATTGAACATTTGAGCGTTTAAAAGTATGTGTAAAGGACAGAATATTAATTAATAATTTTGATTATCAAAAGTATTACTTGTTTGTTTTGTGTCACACCCAAGTTGTCCCTCAATTTCTCGTCATAATGACCACATAGGAGAATAAACATGGTCTTAAATAAGTCAGTTTAGAATAATTGGGCTTCCGGAAGCTGAACTGAGAAAACATAATAAATGCTAAAGAAATTATATGGTAGTTAAATTACATGTAAAATCCTGTGGTATAAATGCGCCATCCTGCAAACACCAAGATTGCAGTTTACGCTCCCAATTCGGCAACGGACGTGCCAAAAACTGCATGGCAAACATAACTGCTATACCCTGAGTTGCTCTGTACCAAATACATGTTCCAATTTCCAAAAATTAATTGGATTATAGAAATCTACAACAAGCCCAATCAGTCCTATGGTAAATGTTGTCTGCAAAGTTCATGATTCGAAAAAACATGTATTCATAGTAGGTTGACTTAACTTCATAGGTACATCTTGATACACTAAAAACTGATAAAGGACAATTAAATGAATGGTAGGTGGAAAAGGCCATATATGAAAATTCAAAAGGTGAAAAAAAGCTTTGACTGATCGGGTATAAAATGGGTAAATAGTGAGAAAAGTAAGATTCTGGTGCCTTAACGCTTTTCTTGCTATATTCATTAAATAAATAATTCTCCTTCTTTAAATATTGAAGCTAAGAAGTTTTAAACTGGCAAAAGCAAATACTAAATGTGTCTAGTCAGAGTTTTCAGAATGCAAAAGCCGGTTTGGCTCTACACTGGTGGCACCGGCAGTTCATTATGGCCAACTGCATTCAATGATAAACGTGTTGAGATTCTCAAATAGACTTGTCAAACTTCCCTTTTGGGAACTGTCAATTATATTTAGATAAAAAATATAAGAAATTTAGCCAGGAATGCTGGGCACGGACAAACAGGCTTGTCTTGTTCTATACTGTCGACCAAATCCAAGCACTGTTAGGTTTAAATTGCCTACTGTTTCGGTAATGCTAGGTGAATGTCTCGCTAATTTAAAAAAATAGCAGCAAATATAGCATTATCCATGGCACAGGAGAATTTGTTGACGGGGATTCATCACCTGCTTGTCCTAAGGGGCAAGATTGTTACATTTTGTCTGCTGTTGTAAGATATGTAATCAAATTAAGCCTTTGTGTTATCAGGTGGAAGCCCATGTGTATGTAGGTGTGGGGTGGGAGGGGAGCAAAAATGACTTTCGTTTTTGAAATGTTACGGATGTGCAGGCTAGAGTGGCTCCATACTGGTATCAAAGCGAACCAGTTACAGGGGAATAAGAGTGAAAGCTCTACGCTGACTTATTACTTACCCACTTATAATGCAAAGTCCCGAACTTGTTGCCGCGGCTACAGGAAATGTCACCTCCACGGCTAACTCTAAACCTATAGGATACATGACCAAAGAAAAGCCACCAAACACCACTGAAATCACTGCTAACAAGACATGCATATCTCGCAATCTAGCTACCTAAAATACAAATACCATTTCAAAATAAAACAATATAAAAACATTTCTTAAATACTATTACGTAACCGTGTCTAAATGTCCTGTACATGTTATATTCAACACGTAAGGGCCATCGCCTATGAATGTGTTAATCTGAAGCGCGATAGTCGATAGTACGATGGTGAAAACACGAAATCACGAAACTACGATGGTGAAAACACGATAGTACGATGATGAAAACGCGATAGTACGATGATGAAAACGCGATAGTACGATGATGAAAACACGACAGTACGATGGTGAAAACGCGATAGTACGATGATGAAAACACGACAGTACGATGATGAAAACGCGATAGGACGATGGTGAAAACGCGATAGTACGATGATGAAAACACGACAGTACGATGATGAAAACTCGAAATCACGAAACTACGATGGTGAAAACGCGACAGTACGATGGTGAAAACACGATAGTTTATCGCGTTTTCATCATCGTAGTATCGTACTGTCGCGTTTTCATCATCGTACTTTCGCGTTTTCATCATCGTACTTTCGCGTTTTCACCATCGTAGTTTCGTGATTTCGCGTTTTCACCATCGTACTATCGACTATCGCGTTTCAGATCAACACATTCATAGGCAATGGCCCAAACGGCATTCCGTTATTATACGATGGCAAAAGATGCCCTCACGAATGGCACGATGTTATTACGATTAGATCCGAATTTGAACATTTTCTTATTCGTGTGTCCACCTGATGCCCAATTCGGGACAGTGTGACGCCTGCATAACAGTTTGCCGATTTATCAAAATACATGTAATGTGTTACGATTCATTTGAAATACTGTAATTCTATTGCACAAAAAATAATTCCAAACACTTTTAACGTTAAAATAACGATTTAAGAGCATGACAGCTGCTTCTCACTTGAAAAAAGTAGGGGTGAATGTGAAATTATTTGTAATAAAAGAAGCAAAATTTAAACGAATTAGTAGATTCTATTTGACTTTTATACAAAATACTTAATTACTATGCCAAATATTAACAGCCGCAAGATTGTTCAGGTAAATGACCGATCAGTCACTTTTTCGAAATTAAAACAGAAAACTAAAAAATCAAAAGCACTTTTAAGAAACGTCAAAATGTGTGTTTATAGTACTTTAAATTTTTTAATGACACCAGACTCTTCAAGTTTAACGTGTAGCGATACCACGAGACCTTAAGAATAAGGAACACGCACATTTTTGCCCAATTCAAGTTTTTTATTTTCAATATTTTTTTGATGTTACTACACTGAATTTAACGAGAGAAGGTGCAGAGTACCCGTATTTGTACAAGCTTCTCACGGTTTATTAAAACATGAAAAAGAACCTGAATTATTGTTGCTGAAAGCATTTGAGTATAGTCATTTTTCATAGTGTATTTCCCGAGGAATATAGTACAAATTCGAAGGTAAAAAACACGACACCCGGGGTTGCTGAATGAAAAACACCCACAAATGTTTTTTATCTGGCATAAATTGTGGTCGTCAAATTATAATACTTAAATTATTAAAGCTTTTTAGAAACAAACCTCAGCGTATTATTTTTTTTACTTTTTCTCTTTCTTTACAGATATTTTAATGATATGAAAAGTTTGGAAACTCAGATATATTTCCTCTCAGATTTTATCTTTCTATGAGAATTTAAAGTTCTCAGGTGTGTTTTATTTATAGAATATGACTCAGATAAATTTATGATGTTGTGGTTGTTTGTTTGTTTGTTGTCACTGATGTTGTTTGTTTGGGTTTTCTTTTGTTCATTTTCAATGACAATTCATCCCACAATGACTGAACTTGTTTTTCTTTAAAGTCCCATCATGATGCCCATTAAATGCTTTAATTTTTATTTCTTAAAAGCTTTTTTTTTATTTTCTTATTTCCTGCTTTATCAAAAAATGATACTCTTCTGTCATTCACCTGAACCATCTTTTTCCTCAGTTGCCCTTTGACAATTAGTGCAGTTATAGTAATGAATTATTTTGTATTAAAGTCAAAGTAACTTTTTGTAACATTTTGCTACTTTTATGAAAAAATATTTCACACACGTTCTTTCTGTAAAAACATTAAACATGATCTAAAAACCATGATCTAAATGTTATAATATTTATGTTTGCCCTTTCTAAAAATGAAAAAAAAAACTATTCGTTTCTGGCGAATAATGTGCCTTTAAGTTTAATGTAAAGTGGATGGTTTGTTAAAAGGTTAATTTAAGCAACTGACGAGAAATAACTTCACTAATTCTCTAAAGTTTATAATTCTCTCATGTATTTTTGTCGCAAAGATTGTTTATAAAATGTTTATAGAAGTGAATTCTTGTTATAAAATATTTCTTATGAATAATGTAAGAAAGGCATATTAGGCATAAAAATAAGAAATAAGACTTTGAAGGCAGGTAAATAACAGTTCGTTTTTTTTTTGCCTTTTTCTGCTTTGTATATAATACATAACTTATGATAAATATACAAATGGTTAAAATACAATAACATTGATTAAACTCAAGACTTCATTTCAATACGAAAAATTTATTTAAATATCTTTATGCTAAATAATAGGATAACTTTGTTTAATATGCCATTATTTGTATTGTTAACGCATACTAAAAACTGAATAAATATGTTAAAGGTACATGCTTCCAGATGATACAAACTATTTCAAGAAAATCACTCTTGAGAAATATGTACTATATGTTTTTAAGAAAGTAAAATAATTACCATTCAAGAAATAACTGTTTAACTACAAGCATTGCATATCCTTCTAAAGTTCGAGGAAAATGTATTGCCACATGCATGTATGCACATTGCATCAGTAATTGGAGGTCTTGAAACACATTTCCGACATACTGATCTTAGGTTTGATGAAAATGTGTTCCCACACGCATTTATACACATGGTGTCCGTAATTGGTGGAGTCCGAACACATCGGTTGCATATTCGTCGATATTGACTAGAAAACGTGTTGCCACAAGCTTTTATACACATTCTGTCAGTCAAAGGTACGCGTGTTACACACTTATCACATATCTGCCTGAGGTAGCTTGAAAATGTATTGCCGCACGCGTTACTGCACATGTCGTAGTCAATGGGTGGGTCGGCAGAGCATTCGCGACACGTCCGTCGCAAGTTAGTTGAAAATGTGTTTCCACATGCGTGTATACATCTCGTGGAGGAATGTGCCGCACCGTGCACACTTATAATAGCAATGTTAATGAAAAACCAAACAACAAAACTTTCCACGCCAAGCTTCATCTGCAAAATAAAGAAATAAAAAAAAATGTTTAAATCATAAAAAATATGATTGGAATACTGGGTAATTCAAGTGACTAATTCATTTTAATGTGTTTTTTAAGTTTAGTTTTGACGTGCAGTTTAGTAAAGACGACATAATTACATATTATCATTTCGTGCGAAAAAAAATAAATAAAAAATAGATAAAAAGAACTGTTGGTTGTTGTTGATTCACAAATATACTATTTTTAAATTTCAGCATTTCGTTCTGCCCTACGAAGATACAAATTGGTACGAAGCCATACATCATACATGTACATATAAAACAAAGATTTATAGATTTACTTAATACGATACTGAAACAACGAAATATTTATTTCAATTAAGGTTAACTGTATAAAAAAGTGAAATAATTTACCTTTTAAACAGCCAGGTTTCTGTACTGTGTACTAAATTGTCAAGATAAGTAGTCTATTTATAATGCATTATACCGGATGTTTTTTTTAACATTTCGCAGAATTCGCTCCCAGGTACCAAATAAATAAGACGCAAACAAAAACAACCTGAGCAAATGAAAACAATTTTATGGTAATCCTTTATTGTTGAATTATTTTAATGAATTACATCTGGAATGACGTACACATTATCCTCGAAACTTCCGCATTTTTGACAGTTGTCGGTAGTGTTGTTCTGTTAACGCTCATTTGAAGTATTGCATGTTAAACATTCGTCCTAATTTATTTTACGAAACAATCATCAAGGTCGAGTGCATTTAAACAAATATGGACTTTTTATTTTGTGAATATGATGTATTTAATTTATATACTAAAATAGAGAGAAATAAATCACATTCACCTAAAAACTGCAGTTTGGCAAACTTTTAGACAGAATGAAACACCGTTATTTGTTTCAACGCCGCTAAATGTTGTAATTCCTTCTAATTATCGTAACCGTCGCTAAATGTCGCAAAATCTTCTACACTGTTAATTGTCGTAATGGTTACATTAAATATCGTACGATTTTCCCTTGCCGTTAAATATCGCAACGCTACCGTTTAATGTCGCAAGATGTATATTCATGTGAAATTAAGTTAGCGAGTGGTACATATATTATAATTGAGCCGCGTCATGACAAAACCAACATAATGGGTTTGCGACCAGCATGGATCCAGACCAGCCTGCGCATCAGCGCAGTCTGATCAGGATCCATGCTGTTCGCTTACCAACACAATTACAAGTAGAGAAACTGATAGCGAACAGCATGGATCCTGATTAGACAGCGCGGATGCGCAGGCTAGTCTGGATCCATGCTGGTCGCAAACGCATTACGTTGGTTGTGTCGTGACGCGGCTCAATTATTACAATAAACATTAAGTAAATGTCTACACATATCTAGTAATTTTTGACCCGGTCCAAAAGCTGACTCAAGATAAAAAAAAAAAGCTTTTTAAAGTTGATTGGCCTGCAATGATTACATTTTTCAGAAATATTTCAAGTACTGGTAAAACAGAAGGAATAATTTGGATATTCTTACAAAATATTTCTAATTAAATCTGGTTCTTCATGATTTGATATGGCATTTATAATTATAATGAATAACTAATATTTTGTTCAAGAACATTTTATTGTCAACATCCATATATAATTTCTTCATTGTCCGTTATCACACATGATAATTAATACTATATTTATGGTATTGCATTTAAATGTCCTTTTTATTTGCAATTAAAACCCATTGATTAAAATATAGTACGAAACTGTGTTACATGTTATACTAATCTTTATCTTTAAATATAAACACTGGGATAGTGCGTCTATTAAGGACGGCTTGGAATTATTCCTGGAAAAAAAGAGTGATGAATCACAATTTATTAATATAGTTCTTTGTAAAAGTTACAGTGAGCGAATGTATACAATCAATATGTATATAATACAATGATACAATTTTAACTTTAAAAACAATAATGAAATACAACATCATTGCAAATATGACGACAATTAATATCTTATATCTTAGATAAAAGTAACGAAATTTGCATTTTACTAATGTAAAACATAAAGAATTGACTTTATAATAATTATGGGGAATATGATAGCGATAAGATTCATTTATGTAGAGAACTCGCTTATGCTGTGAAAGGTAGATGAACCTATTCATATTAATGAAAATACAATCATGTTTTACTCACATTGTTTATGAATTATCAAACACTTATATACAGTAACATAATGCAAGATCTAGACAATGTAAACCATTATCTATTTACATATAACTCATTTTAAGCAACTACAACACATATCTCATGTCTATTTTTACAACTAGAAATATATAATTTTATCAAATTTTGCCATGAAATGATTTACAATAATTAATTTATTTTATTAGAATTTAGCAGAAATCTTTACATCATACTTTGAGTGAAAAATATGTTTTGTACTTGACATATTAAAATATATTGTATTACCAATAGAAAAAATAAACAATGAGAAACTCAACATACCTGGAATAATAAATCCACAAACTTAAAAGACTAATGAATCACAATTTAATATAGTTCTTTGTCAAAGTTACAGTGAGCGAATGTAGGTATGTATATGAACTACAACTGAACAAAGCAGAAAAATATTAAACTATTATTCTAGGAAACTATTATTATTTTAAAGTTGTAGTACCTGCCTAAAAATTATAGTTACTAATTTTTTGCAAGCCTGATTAGCTTTTCTCAAATTATTCATAAGAAATATATCATAACAGTAGACTCATAACAAGAATTCATTTGTACGAAAATTATATCCACAAAGTTTGCGACAAACATACGTGAGAGAATGTATAACTCGTTAGAGAAATGGTAAAGTTAAACCACTCACTTTATGGCTGGAAAATAAACATTGATGGCTGGAAAATAAACATTCAACTAAAAGGCATATTATAGATCTACGTCAGACACGAATCCTTTTTTTCTCCCAGATATATGACAGCTGAGTATCTTTTTGGAAAGTTTTTTCAACTATAACAGGAAACCAAAAAATAAAAAAGTTTGAGATATTAAAATTAAAGCACTTATCGGGCATAATGGGCCTTTAAAAACAAGTTCCATTTGTTCAGTCATTATGTTTTGAATTGTCATGTAATTTGAAGATGAACAGAAAACAACAACACAAAAACATAAATTTTAACTGAGTCATATTCTGTAAATAGAACACATCTTTTATGAAGCCAAGCACTTTAAATGTTCATAGACAGATAAAATCTTGGAGGAAATATATCTGAGTTTCTTAACTGTTCATCTGTAAAGAAACGGAAAACGCAAAAACATAAACAGCATGAACAAATTTTCATACGCTGATGTTTGTTTCCATGAAGCTTTTATCTATTATGTTATCTCAAAACGTGGTAGCATGCGAAAATGATGTAAATATCCGGTAAAATCAAACTTACTCAGATTATTCATAGCAATCCCGGATTAATAATTCAAGTTCTAAACGTTATTAAACTGGATATTGGGGGTAATACGTCATTGAAAGTAAAGGTACGGTATTTATTTTGTTGTTGTGGTTGTTGTTTATGTTTTATTTGTTTTGGGGTTTTTTGTGTTTCTTTTTTAAATGTCGCACTTGTCGCTAAATGTCGCACAATTGCCGCTTTATGTTGCAACCGCCGCTTAATGTCTCAAAATATTTTGCCGTGAAATATCGCAGCACTGATGTAAAATGTCGCACCATTTTCCCTTACTGTTGAATGTCCAAACAATATCGTTAAATGCCGCAATATCTAAATTCACACTGTGATATTATAGGAAAAAATCTGTGTCATTAAAACGTGTTTCTGGCACAAAGACATATTGAAATCTATATAATAGAATTTGTTTAAACTTCGAAGGAGCTTCTAAAGGTCAAAAATAATTGTGTAAATTTGACTAATGTTAACAACATTGCACCTTTACACAACTGGAACCTGAATGATTTTAAAAGTATGGAGGTACATGTAATGGCTGACTAAATTTAGAAACTTGAACTTGAAAATATGGACGCTTGAAAAGTGCATTTCACAAATTCAGCAGGTAAGATAAGACTTGCAAAAATGTACAGTCTTACCAATGTCAGACTTGTCGTCTGCTAAAGTTTAATCTTTTTTTCTTTGTTAGTTACCTTTAGTTACCTTTTTTATTACAAATAAAAAGTCGAATACAAAAATTAATATGTACTTTGGCAAAAATGTCCCCATGTTAAAATCAAAGTGTGAAATATATCTCTAATAATAAATGCATATAAAACGTTTTTAAAACGTTCATGTATAGCAAAATTAAAATAATTTTATCATATACAAAGAATGAAAAGTAGAAAAAACTTAAAACTCAAAGTTTTCCAAGAAATTACATACGATTTATTTAAAATTTCATAGCGGACCAAAAAGGATGTAACTGTTAACCCGCTCGGTTTCCGTTACTAGTGTTGTATAAAATACATTCAAGACATATCTGTAAAAAAACCTCTTATCAATAACAATAAGGAAATGACATAATTTTAAGGTGTGCCCTTTTTTTAAAAGCCAACAAGACGCACAAAGGCGTTCAAAATCAGCCACCATACATATATACACAGTTACTTTTTATCTAAGCTCCTTCAAAGTTTAAACAAATTCTATTATACAGATTTCAATCTGCCTTTATGTCCATGAAACTGTAGCATGATTATGCCTTTAAACTTTTGTTAGTTACTTTTTTCTCAAGATGGAAAAGTTATTTATCAATGCGAGAGGTGTACAGAAGAGATACGTTGTAATGACACACATTAAAAGTAATTTAAAATCACACAGTGATCATTAATTCAATGTCATTTTACACTACCAGGGAGGCGGAACTGTTACACACGAGGGATGGAGTTCTTTATGATAACTTGTCAGGAGTTCTTGTGATAACTGTCACGGAGTTCGTCGGAAAACTTTTGTGAATTCCAACGGACTATGTGACAGTTATCACAAAAACACCTGCCAAGTTATCATAAGAACTCCATCCCTCGTGTAAACAGTTCCTCTCCCGTGACCTCCTGAAAATATAACGAATGACCCAACGTCTATGAACTCAACAGTGAGTGGCATAACATATTACTTACATACATAATAACAGATAACTGACATACATAGGGAAATTTGGTCGTAGCGAATCTTGTTTTGTCCTGTAACTGCGTGTCAATATAAATATGTTCAGATGCACCTTTCACATTAATAACATTTTTTCTGTCATCAGAAATGTTTATCAAATAACAGTTTAAGGGCTCAAACGTGGATAAAGGTACAATACATATAATAAAATTAATAGAAGAGTGAGCTTGAATTTTCCTTCATCATAGGCAGCCTCGAAAATACATTTGAGTCGCGCCACGACAAAACCAACATAATGGGTTTGCGACCAGCATGGATCCAGACCAGCCTGCGCATCCGCGCAGTCTGATCAGGATCCATGCTGTTCGCTTACAGACCCTATATCAAGTAAAGAAACTGATAGCTAACAGCATGGATCCTGATCAGACTGCGCGGATGCGCAGGCTGGTCTGGATCCATGCTGGTCGCAAACCCATTATGTTGGTTTTGTCGTGACACGGCTCATTTCTGCCTACAATTGCAGCATTTATATAACATTATTAAGAAAGGACAAACTGTGATGATACTTTGCAGACACATGAAGTACATGAGTTTAGTGATGATTGCGTAAATGAAATTTGTTAAACTGCAATCTGATTGTGGCAAATACTAAGTCGTATGGTAAAATACTTGTAATACCGATGATACTGCACGCAAACACACAGACACTTTGGGTGAGGAGCTCAAAAGGCCTTTAAAACCCAAATAAAATGTATGTTTGTCAATCCAGGCACATTTATTTGTTATATATATATCATTAACACTTAATATAAGCTGTTCCGAGAGAAATCATATTTCAACGTCTATAAAAATATACAAGATAAAAAGGCTCGCCGAAAAAATCCACACCAAACCTTCCCTCAAAATCACCTTGTATTTTATTATATTTCCAATATTTTCACATAATCATTTTGTCCATCAACACAGTGGACATTATTCTCCACGATGATGGTCAATTCTAAACTTCAACATCAATACAAACAAGGCAACACGCGAAATAAACATCAAAATAATCGCTATTTTACTGCATTTACACAATCTTTCGATAATTTCAAACTTGTCTCTCTTCAAATGCGACTCGCTTGAGAACCAACACAATTATAAATGAATGGCTCATGCTATAGGCGGACAGATTCCCATATTCAAAGCGTTCTAATTAACGTTATCATTGCGACATTTAACGGCAAATTATTTTAAGACTTTTAGCGGTGATTGCGAGATTGTAACGACAAGTGCGACATTTAGCGTCGTTGCGACATACAAAGTGTAATATTAGTGTAAAATGATAATTTAAAATTACTGTAATAGACGCGTTTGTAGCACTAAAATGTCATTTTCTTTAGGAATTATTTTAATTTTGTATACTTTGTAATAACACTAAATATTTGAAATGTTTTTTTAATCAATTGCTGTTAAGAAAAGGAATTACAACATTCCATATCATTTTAATGTTCCATATACCCATTTAAAGTTTACATGAAACCTAATGCAAAATTTTACCTCATTTACACAAAACACAGAATGCCTGTAATTCAATACTAAGGCCATCAGGTATATCTCTTGAAGGCGTTTGGGCAAAATGTAACATTATTTTCTCCATTTATTGTTCCGGTTCAATATCAATTCCAAAGATAAACTTTCCGAATCGTCTCAGTTGTGTGTTGATCTATCTTTAACGGAAGGGTTTTCATAGAACTTTGGTCATTATTTGAATGCCTATACATATATGTATTAAATATTTAAATAATGATTAGATACGATACCTCGAGGTGAAATGCTTTTGGCCTCGTTAAGAATACCCCTCAGCTAACATTTTTGACGATATGCAAATTGCGAGCTGCCACATTTGAAAATCGATGGTTTGAGCATTTCACTTCGTGACAGATCCATATTTCCTATATATTTCTTGATGACTTCTCATAAAATATCTACTTGAAGATATGATTGAAAAGATGTGGAGGTAAAAGTGATACTTAAAGGTCACATTAAAAACTTTCTGAATGTTAAATTAGCTTAAAAAATCAAAATCTACTTTGTGTTTTTAAATTAGCCTAAAAGATCTAATTAATCTAAAATTAGTCCTGCAAAATATAATAAGTGTTAAATTTGCCAATGTTAAAAAATACCTAAAGATGTACTTAATGTCAAAATAGCCTACTTAATGTTAAACTAGCCCTAAAAAATCTACTTAATCTTGAATCAGCCCTAAAAAATCTACTAAATAAAAAGTCTACTTAATGTGAAATTAGCCCTAAAAATAAACCCATGTTAAATCAGCCCGAAAAGAATGCTTAGAGTTAAATTTCTCCGAAGAATTCTACTGAATGTGTTAAATTAGCTCTAAACATCTACTTAATGTTAAACTCGCCCTTAAAAACCTAATTAATGTTAAATTAGGCTTAAAAAGAAAGCTTCAAAAGGCAACTGTGTCAGGTAAAAGTCAATTTGAAATTTTGTTTCATTCATGTCTAACAAAATACAACTTCGGTGATATATAGCTGTCATTTGGATTCTCTTGTTTTAACTACTTTGTACGTAATTTTTATATAACGATATTGATTTTGCAGATGAGGCCAACATTAATATTTCTTGTTGTGGACGTTTTCATCCACTCTTCTACCATTAGTGTGCAAGCGCATTCCTCCACAAGATGTATTTACGCATGTGGAAACACATTTTCATCTAATTTGCGACAGACGTGTCGCGAATGCTCTGCCGACCCACCCATTGACTACGACATGTGCAGTAACGCTTGTGGCAACACCTTCTCCAGCTTTCTGAGACAGATATGTGACCAATGTGCTATACGTGTTAATCCTACAAGCAGAATGTGTATAAAAGCTTGCGGTAACACGTATTCTAGTCAATATCAGCGTATATGCAACCGATGTGTTGTCGACCCGCCCGTTGACTACGACATGTGCAGTAACGCGTGCAGCAACACATATTCAAGGAACCTAAGACATATATGTGACATGTGCGCAATACGTGTACCTTTGACTGACAGAATGTGTAGAAAAGCTTGTGGAAACACGTACACCAGTCAGTATCTGCGTATATGCAGCCGTTGCGTTCAGACACCGCCAATCACAGATGCGATGTGTATACATGCTTGCGGTAACACATTTAATGCGTACTTACGTCAGATTTGTCGGCAATGTGTTGCATCACCACCAATTACTGATGCAATGTGTGTGCATGCATGTGGAAATACATACTCTCAGAACTATCGACTGATTTGCAGGATGTGCAATTAAACGTTCCATTCGATAGGTATACAAGTACCTTACCTACAGACAGCTGTTAAAATGCAGAGGAAGAATGAACAATCTGTATATATTTATTGCAACAAGCAGTAGTTGTTATGGTCCTTTTTGTTATAGTATTATGTTATAACATAAATTTCAGATCAAGATAAATCCAACCCTTAACTGCCCTTTGACAAACTGTTGGTCATGATAATAACTGTTTTAAAATTCTAAACTCTCTATACAGAGAGCCATATGACAAATCAGAATACAAAAATCTTGCGTTTTCTGGTCCCGGCTGAATAGTTCAAGCTATGTTTCATAAACAACTGCCGGAAGTGATTTAATGATATCGACGAACACAGACATTGTTTACTTAAACTGCTTTCCTGCTCTCTTTTTTATTAAAGGCACATCATGTCTCAGAAACGATTGTTTTTCCTTCTTTAAAAATGACAAACTTGACTTGACTTTAAAAATGGTTTAAGGGCATGTTAGATACTTATAACCAGAGGAAAGTAGCGGTGACTGAAATTATTTGTCATAAAAGTAGCAAAATGTTAACAAGGTTGTTAAATACTCATTCACTATGACTGTACTGTTTGCAAAAAAGCAAAAGAAGCAAGCAATAAAACTATAACAGGGCACACAAAAACCCCCTGCTTTTGAAAAGTCAGAATAAAGGCACTTCTAAGGCATAATGATCCTTAAAATGATGAGCGGAAATTTAATCTGTAACCCTTAACCTGCTGGAATCGAAAAGGATTAGCATGTGCCACCGTTTTAAAGCCAGGCCAGCCTTCACATTAGTGCAGTTTTACCAGCCTCTATACCCTTGGCTAATCACTTCCGTTGTAAAGCCACCAAAAAAAAAAAAACAAAGCCGAAACAGGTAAACACAGTTTGTGAAAATATTCGGGTTTATTTTAAATATGCTTGTTTTTCAAAAATCTACGAATGCTATGCCACGTAAAACATTTTCCTCATCAGTTTGCATATTAACTCGGTTGTTTTTGCTACGTTGGGACATTTCTTTAGTGATCTCTTTACCGTAAAGTAAATGTATGCCAAAATTATCGTGCATGAAACATTATCCTAGCCTACCCTTTAGCTCAACACAAAAAAAAATATTTCAAAGAGCTTAGTTGAAAATAAAATATTTACATTTGTTCAAATGTGATCGAGTCATCGAAACGGTGCTGGCGCCATCGGCAATGTGAAAGAGCTCTCGCGTATGTGATTGAGCCATTACAAACATATATTGTGGAATTATTCCGACTTGATTAAGAATCTTCATTTTGAATGAGATAGGTTTTTATGTTCGTGTGTATTCTAGGCTTAATGAGGGTCCATCCGCTCTTTTCAGGCACTGACTCCGGACATATCACCATTCATGTCCTTAAATGTTATTATCAACCAAAAGGTGACATATAAATTTTGAATTCAGTTATTCACTGAATGATACTAAATATGTATGCAGGTCGGTTTTTGTGATGATACTATTTTGATGCACAGATGTCAATGAGACCATTACTAATTATATGCGTCATATAGAAAAAGGTTTTGCTGCCATAAGAAATGAGCATATATTTCGGACGAGAAGGTTATGCACCTGACACATGTTTTCCGTATGCATTGCCGAAATGCATGATTATTCTATTCACTTTTTCACAGTCGAATTGGGATGAAATTTTAGCCAAGAAAAAGAGGATCCTTTTTTAATTTTGTGTAATACTAATAATGAGAATACCCAAATCCGGTGAAATATAAAATACATTATAGCACATGGTAAGATTTAGCAAATAATATAAAAAATAATGTTCTATTTTAATGTTTTCTTGAGTGTAGAACGTTAAAGTTGCAAAAATGGCGTCTTTGATCAAGATTATTCGATTTGCTTTTTGAAACTTGGTCCTTGGGTGTCTTTTATCGGGTTTCACCGGTGTCGTGTGCCGAAGATTCATTCCTGATTGAATGTTTATTGTTTTGACACTAACTTTTAAATAATATTGCATTGCTTTGGCGAAATGTACTTCGTGCTAAACACCACGCTTAAACATTTCATGAATGTAAAGTTTTTATCAACTCGTGCAATTTTGTCTATTTTTGAATATTAATCGCCACAATTTATCGACACTTATCATATGTTTGTATTGTCTCCAAAACATTTGCTAGAGCTCTTTCACAAAGTCGATGGCGCCAGCACCGTGTCGATGTCAGCCGTAATAGGTTTCATTTATACACATCACTCAGCCAACCATATTTTATATATACTGTAAGTAAATTACAGAAGAAAGATCCTCTGTTCTGTTCTTTATGTTAATGTTAAATGGCCAGAATTCTTAAATCACTATCTAGTATGTTGAAATTTTAAAGATCATAAATTCGAGCCTGTAACCATGAATCGAAACGTTTCGACACTACTTGTAATACATTGTACATCGAGCGGTATATCATGTTCAAAATGAAGTGGCAGAGAACAAGTATCCGTGAGTGATGACGCTCATTCCAGCGTAAATGGTCTCAAAATGGCAGACACATCTGTGGACCTAATAAACCAATGTTTGCCGATTTAATTGATACAGCTATGGATAATAGACCAGTAAAATCCTGTTAATTTATTAGCCTTCCCTCAGTAAAAATAGGCCAACAATCCTGTAAATTTATTAGCCTTCCCTCAGTAAAAGTAGACCAGCAATCCTGTAAATTTTTTAGCCTTCCCACAGTAAAAGTAGACCAGCAATCCTGTAAATTTATTAGCCTTCCCTCAGTAAAAATAAGCCAAAAATCCTGTAAATTTATTCGCCTTCACTCAATAAAAATAGGCCAACAATCCTGTAAATTTATAAGCCTTCACTCAGTTTAAAATAGACCAACAATCCTTTTAATTTATTAACCTTCACTCAGTAAAAATAGGTCAACAATCCTGTAAATTCATTAGCCTTCCCCAAGACTTTTTTGGCTGTTTTAATCTTTTAACTTAAAAGATTATGATGAAGATATAACATACATTAGTTTAATGTCTAGTCCTTTATTTCAGTTAAAAAGTCATGGATCAACAAATGTATAAAAAAACAACACCAGTATCGCAATTTTCACTTACAAATAATAAATAAATAAACCTTCGTATAATTACACAATAACGATTTTTTTTCAAATATCATAAAAATATGGATATATAATTACAATGACATAATGGCACAATTATTCTAAAACGATGTAATATCACTTTTACTAATAAAAGTTGGATTTAAACCAGAAATGTCGAACGACACATATGCTCCCCTTTCTAGCCCTTGACTCACATTTGTAATTTTGTTATAGAAACTTGCCATAAATGGGTACATGGACGTGTTCAGTTATGGAAAAAAGGCAAATAATGACATACTAGTTATATACAATCAATATGTGAAATATAAAGACCTTGACCTTTGAACTAGTGACCCCATTATGACTAATAAATATGTGAAATATCAAGATAAAAAGTTTTCAAGGTAATAAGATGAAACCATGTAATATGTTTAAGGCCACCTTGACATTTCAACTACAGATCCTTAACTCAATAGGGGTCATCTTCTACATATGGCTATTTGATATGTGAAATATGAAGACTTTGTAATAATAGTTTTCATGATAATGAGCAAAAACCATTCCGACATTTAAGGCACCTGTGACCTTGACCTTTGACATAATGATCCCGATATAAATAGGGGACATTTACTATTTATGACAGATCAATATTTAAAATACAAAGACTTTGTGATAAATAGCTTTCAAGATAATCAGTGGAAACCATACAACAATTCAAGGCTCCTGTGACCTTGACCTTTATCCTAGTGACCCCAAAATCAATGGGGGTCATCTACTAGTTATGACCAATCACTATGTGAAATATGAAGATTTTGTGATAAAAATCTTCCAAGATAATAAGTGAAAACCATTCTGACCTTAAGGACCCCTGTGACCTTGACCTTTGACTTATTGACCCCAGAATCTACAGGATTCATTAACTAGTTGTGCCCAATCACTATGTGATATATGAAGACTTTGCGATAGATAGTTTTCAAGATAATAAGTGGAAACCATTCTGACATTTAAGGCCACTGTGACCTTGACTTTTGACCTGGTGACTCTTAAATCAATAGGGGTCATCTACTACTTATGATCAATTAGTATATGAAATATGAGGACTTTGTAATAAAAGTTTCAAAGGTAATAAGCGGAAACCATTTTAACATTTAAGGCCCCTGTGACCTTGCCCTTTGACCTTGTGACCCCAAAATCAATAGGGGTCATCTACTAGTTATGACCAATCAGTATGTGAAAAATGAAAATTTTGTGATGAAGAGTTTTTAAGGTAGCTCGCTACTTTCCGACCGAAATATGACAACATCTCAGATCTTGATGATTTTTGGTATGCAAACGTATAAATATGTGAGCTTTACTTCTGCAGTATTATTTTATAAATAAACAGCGTTACTGTGACGTCAAAGCGCCCTCTATCGGTGGCGGCGAAATTGCGTCTTTTTTATCAATAAACCGGTCTGTCCTTATCAATTTTCATCCGATTTCATTCATTTTAATTTTATAATGTTCAGTGAACGTATGTCTTTGTAATGATGTCTTTCTTTAACATTTACTTAATAGTCTGCGATTCTACGTCATTTTTCTCTACGTTCTGACGTCCATATTTGATGCAAATATCGCGCGATATCGCAATAAAGATTGTGTAATAAAAAAAATTCAACACGGTGAATTTTGCTATAATTTTCCGAGCGTGTAGTGAGATAGTGAAGGAAAGTATTTATGCAATAAAACTATAGGGTCAACGCGTAAGATATTTTGCTATTACTGTTTTAAAATAAAATAAAGGGTGAGTGAAACGTAATGATTTTGGTGACGTTAATAGATGTTGGAGTTCAAAGAATAATACCAAATAACAATTTTCTTACGTCAAACATTACGATAGTAAGTATAAACAACACAGATGAAATGTATATTTTTTAAATTGTTGATTATTTTCTCATTGAAAGCATGCGCTAGATGAGCACATTTACAATGTTTAATCCGACAATCCCTTTTAAAATACTTTCCTAATTTGCAGGACACAGTCTCATACATCTTTTAATTTTAATTTTATAATGTGATGTTGTTAAAGTGTTATATTATGATATGAATTAACTAGTTTCAGCGCAAAAAATAAGATTTGCATATTGCTGTATGAATGAAGTAAGACTATTAATAGTTTGCTTAGCTTATACCCGTAGAATATTTATTTTACGTTACATTCAGCTTTTAAACACTTTCATAAAATCACATAAAGGCAGACGAGCCTCGGTGTCAAAACACATCGTAAAAATACAATTAAAATAGATATGCATACAAATGTGCCGAAATAAGTGATAAATGAAATTCAGAAATAATATTCAAATATGTTAAAGGGACTCCACTGAGGTTTTTTACATGATGGAACTGAAAATATTTTTTCCAGATAAATGTACCATTTGATGTAGGTTTAGACCATTAATCTTTGTGCAAAATTTCAGAGCATTCGCGCACTTCGATCTTCCAGAATAATTATTCAAAATGAAAAGCGTTTAAACGCTTTTCAACCAAATCGGGCTAACAAAAGCATAAAAATACGATTTTCAATTTATTTCAAAGTATATTTCTTAACTATCTAGTTTATATTTTTGTTTAAAGTGCCCCAGGTCATTTATGTAAGAAATTCAAATGTTATGTGTTTGGCTTTTCAACCTCAGTGGAGTCCCTTTAAGAATATTTAAAACCAAACTGTACAAGAAACAAAAACCTTTATTTTATTTTTATTTTTGCTTACCATTTTTAAGTCTGTGCAATACATAGATTATATAATCATAATCTAATTAAAATGTCATGATAATGTCATGATAATTAGAAAATGAGCACTTATGTGACAAACTATGAACTATTTTGGAAGCAAAATCATACTGAATAAAAAAAATATAAGCATATTCGCAACTGCAGACTCGAATGTGAAACACCCAATATAACCTATACTCAACTCGGATTTATTACCGCTTTTTCATTACAGTATAACATAGCGGGCTCAAAGTATTATTTATTTCTAAAGAGTTCCACTACATTTTACCTCTGTAGAGCAACCACTCTAGGCAACAAAGGGGATTTCTCTGTAAAGGTTATACTGTATATTTAAATTAAATACAAAATATAATTATTAAATAACTTGTGCAACTTTTGTTACCACTGAATACGAATAATGTATTATGTTGCCGTGATCTTGTTCATTCTTTAATATAATACAGTTTGCTTTAAAACAAAAATAAAAAAACAAGAAAAAAATAAACAACCTCAAAACACACACCAAAAACACGTGCTTATAATGTTAGCAATAAAATGGACTTCTCCCTTATTAAGGGAGATCATAATCAGGTTTTTAATTTTGAATATTTTTCTGTTGCCACGTTGTAATCGGTAAAGTGGTCTTACGCTGAATTCGGAAGGCATGGATTCGAGACACGATTGCGTATTGTACTAATAGATTATCCTTTAGAATTGTTTACTGTGTATGAAATGTTTCAAGGTCCACCTCGGACTCCTGTCATTCATTTCCAAAGAGAAGTTGATACTGTGAGAAACACTGGTTTCGTTAAATTCCCTCCGCTATAATTGAAATGCTGTTGAAAGCGGCGTTAAACCCAATATTAGAAAAATAAGAAGATATAAAACATAAAATGCATAGTTCATTATTTTGATAGGCTCTACATAGCACTGCATTATGTGCAGACAAAAAACGAGCTTCTCCCACAACCATAATCACACAAATTGAGAATCCTACATAATTGCCTTCAGTACAAGGGCATCTGTATTTAATATGCAAAATTCTCCGCTTCTGAACATAAAAAATAAATCAACGGATATTTCGCCTCTAATCGAAAAATGATCGCGGTTTCAGGTCCCCTCATAGATGCGCTAGTAAACGCATACCGCGAGTCAGCTAGTTTAAAATAAATAAGAATATCTGTAATTATGTGAAATACGTGAGAAATTCAAGCCATAGCATGAGAGCGTGATTCCTGCTTTAAATCTGAGTCTCACGCTTAGTGTAGGGTATTTAGCTGCGAGAGAAAATAGAATAACTGATGGCTGTTAATAAATAAATTTTTATACGTGTAGAAATTTTTGAATTTAATGTCTGCTAGATTTTATAATATAATTAAGACTACCAGTGAATCATGACTTACGTACAAATCGTTGCTACTTCCAGTTGATCATATATTTTTTGAAACGTAAATTTGATTCGTTTCCTACCAGAGACATAGATGTTATCTATGTCTCTGTTCCTACTAACTTATATAAAAATTATACAATTCAAAATTGTTACATATGATAACATGGAAGTTTGTACCGGGATACACATAACATGATGACATTGCGACTGCACCAGCCTTTTCAGTCTTTTTTTCTGACATTCTTTGCAAAATTTATGTTTTTATAATTTCCACTTAGGTGGCCTTTTAATTATATTTTTCAATATTCTGAATTGTCTTTCAGTCCTCGAGGTATTTATATCCATTCGTTGCAGTTTTTCAGAGATTGATACCAACTTTTGCAGACAGTTTTAACCTGATTTGTTGTACATGTAAATAATTGAAGATATTTATCGAAATGCAGGCATCTGACAGGACTTTTTAAAAAAAACATTTTTACGGAACATGTCTAAATACTATTGTTGTTGATGGTTTTCACACATTTTTATTCCTGTCAGTATGATATTTATCGAAAAAGTCGTGAAAATTTCCTTGAGAAAAATATTTGAAGTCACCAAAATCATTACGTTTTACTCACCCTTTATTTTATATTCAAATAGTAATAGCAAAATATCTTACGCGTTGACCCTATATTTTTATTGCATAATGATTTTCTTTTATGACTTCACTACATGTTAAAAAAATTAAAGCAAAATTCACCGTTTTGATTTTTTATTATTTCACAATCTTTATTGTGATATCGCGCGATATTTGCATCAAATATGGACGTCAGAACGTGAGGGAAAATAACGTAGAATCGCAGAGTATTAAGCAAATGTTCAAGAAAGACATCATTACAAAGACATACATTTACTGAACATTATAAAATTAAAATGAAGGAAATCGGATGAAAATTGATAAGAACAGACCGGTTTATTGATAAAAAAGACGCAATTTCGCCGCCACCGATAGAGGGCGCTTTGACGTCGTAGTAACGCTGTTTATCTATAAAATAATGCTGCAGAAGTAAAGCTTACATATCTACATGTCTGTATACCAAAAATCATCAAGATCTGAGATATTGTCAAATTTCGGTCGGAAAGTAGCGAGCTACCTTAATATGATCAGGGGAAACAATTCTGAAATTTAAGGCCCCTGTGACCTTGACCTTTGGCCCCAAAATCAATAGGGGCTTTCTACTAGTCATGAACAATCAGTATGTAAAACATGAAAACTTTCTGATAAATTGTTTTCAAGATAATAAGCGGAAACCATTTTGACATTTAAGGCCCCTTTGACCTTGACCTTTGACCTGGTGACCCCAAAATCGATAGGGGTCATCTTATAGTTATGACCAATCAGTATGTTAAATATGAAGACTTTATGATAAATAGTTTTAAATATCATCATCCGATGGACAGACAGACAGACAATCCGACTGACCGACATTAGCAAAACAATATACCCCCACTTCTCTGAAGGGGGGCATAAAAACAGTGCAATAATAAATTTCAGAATTGCTGTGAGGGTATTAAGGAATAAAACAGGAATATCCTTGCTTTAAAATCACGTAGTTAAGTTGGGTAATTTCTTCTTGTATGGTACAAGGACATTTTGCTTTGAACTGGTAATGATAAATAAACCTTGACCTTACACTCGGACTTATGCCAGATATTGTATTCTAGAATAAAGTTATCAGTTCCATTCAAGTTACACTTGTTATCGTTGGTGATTAAACAACGCGCACATTGGAAATCTTTGATTATAACAATCATTTGTGATTGTTCAGGTATGTGTAGAACCACCGAGGTATAAATAATGAAGTCAATATCACAATGACTGGCACAAAAAACTTAAACTTATAAAGTCATCACGAAATATTCAAAGCTATAATAACAACAGAAAACAGCCAGTTGAACTACCTGCCAAGAAATGACTACGACCTATTCAAAACAGTCGCAGAAAACAAATCCCTGACGACACAAAATATAAAAATGAGGTAACGATAGCGGTCACGGACAACAAAACACCACTGGCGTTATAATGTTAACCTAAGGTAAAGATAACGTCACGGACAACAAAACACTGGCGATACAGTGTAAACCTAAGGTAAAGATAACGGTCATGGTCAACACAGTGTAAAACAAAGGTAAAAAAAAACGACCACAGACAACGAAACAATTACGATATATTGTTAAACTAGGATAAAGATAACGGCCACAGTCAACAAAACATTGACATTGTAAACTATGGTAGAGATAACGGTCACGTACAACAAAATACTAAAGATACAGTTTTAAAATAACGGATCCTGACAAAAATCATTGGCGACACTGTTAAATAAAGGCAAATATATCGCTGACAACAAAACGCTTAAACAAAATTAAGAGTAACTAAAGGTTAGTTGGGTGTCAGAGTTTTGTAACCTCAGTGCTATTGTTAGACGAGTCTTCTTTATTTATCACAGAAACTTTGGTTTTAGAGTTCGACAAAGCTTTTTTCTCTTCTATTAATCGTTTATATTTTGGTCGGAAAAATAGCACAAGTATCACAAATGTTGCCGCAGTTAAACAACATGCCATCCACAGAAATGAATCTGAAAACAAAACAAAAAAATATCAAAGCACTGAAAGTAAATGAAGCAAAACCATTAACCACCTTGTCGTTAAATACAAATCCGCAAAATATCATTGAAAATTTGATGTTCGTGAAGTTGGCAGCCTAGCAGCCTAAACTTCACGAACATGAAAATTTGACCGTATAAAAGTATGATATATAGGACAGAATATTAATTTATTAATTTAATTATTAAAAGTATTACTTGTATGTTTTGTGCCACACCCAAGTTGTCCCTCAATTTCTCGTCGTAATGACGACATAGGAGAATAAACATGGTCTTAAATAAGTCAGTTAGAATAATTGGGCTTCCGGAAACTAAATTGAGAAAAGTTTAAAAAGTATCTGATAATCACATATCAAATGCTAAAGAAATTATAAGAAAGTTAAGTTACATGTAAAATCCTGTGGTATAAATGCGCCATCCTGCAAACACCCGGATTCCAGTTTACGCTCCCAATTAGGCAACGGACGTGCCAAAAACTGCATGGCAAACATAATTGCTATACCCTGAGTTGCTCTGTAACAAAAACATGTTCCAATTACCATAAATAAATTTGAGTATAAAATCTTTTACACAAGTCCAATCAGGCATATGGTAAATGCTGTTTACAAAAGCAAATACATGATTTAAAAACATGTACTTATACATTGGAAAAATTGTCTGTCAACAAAAACATTAAATTTTCTTTTACTTAATCAAACCTACGCCAGGCTCTATACTGTCGGCTAACTTCAAAGGTACAGTATGATACATTTAAAATTGAAAGAATGGGAACTGGAAACGTCCATTTAAGAAAATCAAATGGGTTAAATTGTGTGGAAAAAAAAAAGCTTTGACTGATGGGGTATAAAATGGGTAAATAGTGAGAAAAGTAAGATTCTGGTGCCTTAACGCTTGCTAAATTCATAAAATTAACAATACTCCTTCTTTAAATATTGAAGCTAAGAAGTTTTAAACTGTAAAAAAGCAAATACTGACAGTGTCCAGTCAGAGTTTACGGAATGCAAAAGCTGGTTTGGCTCTATATTGGTGGCAAGGGCAGTTCAATATAGCCAACTGCATTCAATGCTTCACGTGCTACGATTTCCAAAGGACTTGTCAAGCTTCCATGTTTTTGAAATTACTGTCAATTTCTAATTTTTAGGATATTAAGATAAAAAATTAAAGAAATTTAGCCAACAATGTAGCGCACGGTCAAACAGGCTTGTCTTGTTCTATACTGTCAACCAGGGTCTTTCAAATAGAAAATTGAAAGACCCTATGTCAACCAAATCCAAGCACGGCTAGGTTTAAATTGCCTATTATTTCGGCAATGCTAGGTGGATGTCTAGCAAATATAGCATTATCCATGGCACGGGAGAATTTGTTGATGGGGATATCCTCAGGGGGCAAGATTGTTTCCATTTGTCTGCTGTTGTTAGGTATGTAATCAAATTAAGCCTTCGTGTTATCAGGTGGAAGCCCGTGTGTATGTGGGTGTATGGGTGATTTATGACTATCGTTTTTGAAATGTTACGGATGTGCAGACTAGAACGACTTCAATACTGGTGTAAAAAGCGAATCAGTTACAGGAGAATAAGAGTAAAAGCTCTACGCTGACTTATTACTTACCCACTTATAATGCACAATCCCGAACTTGTTGCCGCGGCTACAGGAAATGTCACCTCCACGGCTAACTCTAAACCTATAGGATACAAGACCAAAGAAAAGCCACCAAACACCACTGAAATCACTGCTAACAATACATGCATATCTCGCAATCTAGCTACCTAAAATACAAAAAACATTTCAAAATAAAACAATATAATACATTTTTTAAATACTCGTAGGTAACCGTGTCTAAATGTCGTTTATACGCATACATGTTAATGATAGAAATAGTATCGAGAAGTTGGCACTGACATCGAAGATCGAAGATCGAAATTCAGTTTCTAGTGAATTTCGAGCTAGCTTTGAACTTCGAGCTAGCTCGAAGATCGAAATTCAAAGTAAACAAAAGCTGAATTTCGAGCTGGAGTTGAATTTCGAGCCAGCTCGAACATCGAAATTCAAAATTTTCAAAACCCGAATTTCGAGCTGGAGTTGAATTTCGAGCCAGCTCGAAGATCGAAATTCGGAATTTAAAATTTCAAGAACCGAATTTCGAGCTGGAGTTTAAATTCGAGCCAGCTCGAAGATCGAAATTCAAAATTTCAAAAGTTGAATTTCGAGCTGGAGTTGAATTTCGAGCCAGCTCGAAGATCGAAATTCAAAATTTGCAAAAGTTGAATTTCGAGCTGGAGTTGAATTTCGAGCCAGCTCGAAGATCGAAATTCAAAATTTGCAAAAGTTGAATTTCGAGCTGGAGTTGAATTTCGAGCTGGCTCGAAGATCGAAATTCAAAATTTGCAAAAGTTGAATTTCGAGCTGGAGTTGAATTTCGAGCCAGCTCGAAGATCGAAATTCAAAATTTTCAAAAGTTGAATTTCGAGCTGGAGTTGAATTTCGAGCCAGCTCGAAGATCGAAATTCAAAATTTGCAAAAGTTGAATTTCGAGCTGGAGTTGAATTTCGAGCTGGCTCGAAGATCGAAATTCAAAATTTGCAAAAGTTGAATTTCGAGCTGGAGTTGAATTTCGAGCCAGCTCGAAGATCGAAATTCAAAATTTTCAAAAGTTCAATTTCGAGCTGGAGTTGAATTTCGAGCCAGCTCGAAGATCGAAATTCAAAATTTGCAAAAGTTGAATTTCGAGCTGGAGTTGAATTTCGAGCCGGCTCGAAGATCGAAATTCAAAATTTTCAAAAGTTGAATTTCGAGCTGGACTTGAATTTCGAGCCGGCTCGAAGATCGAAATTCAAAATTTTCAAAAGTTGAATTTCGAGCTGGACTTGAATTTCGAGCCGGCTCGAAGATCGAAATTCAAAATTTTCAAAAGTTGAATTTCGAGCTGGAGTTGAATTTCGAGCCAGCTCGAAGATCGAAATTCAAAATTTTCAAAAGTTGAATTTCGAGCTGGAGTTGAATTTCGAGCCAGCTCGAAGATCGAAATTCAAAATCTGCAAAAGTTGAATTTAGAGCTGGAGTTGAATTTCGAGCTAGCTCGAAGATCGAAATTCAACAAGAATTTCAATTTTATTGAACTTTTTTTAAGAATCAACTTACTGCACCTAATCTTTTCAAAACTGTCATGTTTTCCAACGTTGAATGGTCATTGACACTGACGTGCATGTCGAAATTCAAAATTTTCAAAAGTTGAATTTCGAGCTGGAGTTGAATTTCGAGCCAGCTCGAAGATCGAAATTCAAAATTTTTAAAAGTTGAATTTCGAGCTGGAGTTGAATTTCGAGCCGGCTCGAAGATCGAAATTCAAAATTTGCAAAAGTTGAATTTCGAGCTGGACTTGAATTTCGAGCCGGCTCGAAGATCGAAATTCAAAATTTGCAAAAGTTGAATTTCGAGCTGGAGTTGAATTTCGAGCCAGCTCGAAGATCGAAATTCAAAATTTGCAAAAGTTGAATTTCGAGCTGGAGTTGAATTTCGAGCTGGCTCGAAGATCGAAATTCAAAATTTGCAAAAGTTGAATTTCGAGCTGGAGTTGAATTTCGAGCCAGCTCGAAGATCGAAATTCAAAATTTTCAAAAGTTGAATTTCGAGCTGGAGTTGAATTTCGAGCCAGCTCGAAGATCGAAATTCAAAATTTGCAAAAGTTGAATTTCGAGCTGGAGTTGAATTTCGAGCGGGCTCGAAGATCGAAATTCAAAATTTGCAAAAGTTGAATTTCGAGCTGGAGTTGAATTTCGAGCCAGCTCGAAGATCGAAATTCAAAATTTTCAAAAGTTGAATTTCGAGCTGGAGTTGAATTTCGAGCCAGCTCGAAGATCGAAATTCAAAATTTGCAAAAGTTGAATTTCGAGCTGGAGTTGAATTTCGAGCCGGCTCGAAGATCGAAATTCAAAATTTTCAAAAGTTGAATTTCGAGCTGGACTTGAATTTCGAGCCGGCTCGAAGATCGAAATTCAAAATTTTCAAAAGTTGAATTTCGAGCTGGACTTAATTTCGAGCCGGCTCGAAGATCGAAATTCAAAATTTTCAAAAGTTGAATTTCGAGCTGGAGTTGAATTTCGAGCTAGCTCGAAGATCGAAATTCAACAAGAATTTCAATTTTATTGAACTTTTTTTAAGAATCAACTTACTGCACCTAATCTTTTCAAAACTGTCATGTTTTCCAACGTCATTGACACTGACGTGCATGTCGAAATTCAAAATTTTCAAAAGTTGAATTTCGAGCTGGAGTTGAATTTCGAGCCAGCTCGAAGATCGAAATTCAAAATTTTTAAAAGTTGAATTTCGAGCTGGAGTTGAATTTCGAGCCGGCTCGAAGATCGAAATTCAAAATTTTCAAAAGTTGAATTTCGAGCTGGACTTGAATTTCGAGCCGGCTCGAAGATCGAAATTCAAAATTTTCAAAACCCGAATTTCGAGCTGGAGTTGAATTTCGAGCCAGCTCAAAGATCGAAATTCAAAATTTTTAAAAGTTGAATTTCGAGCTGAAGTTGAATTTCGAGCCGGCTCGAAGATCGAAATTCAAAATTTTCAAAAGTTGAATTTTGAGCTGGACTTGAATTTCGAGCCAGCTCGAAGATCGAAATTCAAAATTTTCAAAAGTTGAATTTCGAGCTGGAGTTGAATTTCGAGCCAGCTCGAAGATCGAAATTCAAAATTTTCAAAAGTTGAATTTCGAGCTGGAGTTGAATTTCGAGCCAGCTCGAAGATCGAAATTCAAAATTTTTAAAAGTTGAATTTCGAGCTGGAGTTGAATTTCGAGCCAGCTCGAAGATCGAAATTCAACAAGAATTTCAATTTTATTGAACTTTTTTTAAGAATCAACTTATTGCACCTAATCTTTTCAAAACTGTCATGTTTTCCAACGTTGAATGGTCATTGACACTGACGTGCATGTTGACGTTACGTTACGTTATATTACACTGCAAATGAATTTCCGTAAGTGTTCATCTTTTTAACTTTTGTCAGATTTGTTCTTTTTTCACATTTGTATTCCTAATTGTTGCCTTAAAAGAAAACATTCTCAAATTGTAGATAATGAATAAACAAAAATCTTTAAAGATACACATTTGACACATGTTCTTCAAATATTGTCCTTTAAATCAAGTTTAGTTGGTTTCTTTCAGTGCAGGACAGTTCCATTCGGAAAAAATTTGGGAAATTTAAGTAGGTTCTTTTGTCTGTACTTGCTACGGACACTGTCGAGGCTCTTTTGATGTTGATATGTTCTGTTCACTGACCATATAATCAGTATGCAATTGACATGTTAATAAAACCGGAAAATATTACATTTATTTAAAGCTTCTTTTTTATGTTTTCTGACAAATGTCAGATCACACTATTTCTTTCCTTTAAAAGAAAATTCAGGATTACATCTTGGTTCTTTATCTTTGTATACAGAATCCGTATTTGCAAGATTACGAAATTTTGTATGATAGGAATTTGCGGACTTTTAATAAAAAGATCCGTATTTAAGTAGAGTATAAAGTTGCCGTATATTTCGAATGTACGAATAACGATATTTGTCATGTACTTATTGCATGATATACGGCCCTGTACACCTCCGTATTTTAAATTTCAGACCTATTTATAAAAAATTTATGTAGAATTCCGTACACTTCGGTATATCTGCAGTGGTCATAATGTCATTTATGGCGGAATTTTAACACTAATTTCAGCATAAAGAAAAATAAAACAATTTCCGTTGAATACAGCAGCATTTAAGATAATGTATCTGCCGTTGGCTAGGAAGTACCCTTAACAGTTGTCAAGGATACGCAGCGAACGGTCTTTGTTGGTCAACTTTGACGTCCTGTACAAAAATTGGCTGAAATTATTTTTAAAAAATCCAACGGAATCTAATCTGAAATATGTCAACATTTTACATGACGCTAGTGTCGCGTTCTACCTTAATTGCATTTTATGTTAATTATTGGCTGAAGTATATATTATAATGTGAAAGAAATTGTTTGGTGGAAATTAATTTGAGTATTTGTGAAAAGGGTTTTTATTTAAGGAAATTACTGGAACACTTTTCTTACGCGAAGCAACATCTACTTTAAATACAGGCGGTGATGCGGCAAACCTAAATTACTAGTTGAAGCTGTTTTGTCGGGAAAGAATAATAATGGTACTATCAAAATAATATAAAAAAAACATAATAAAACTAGGCTAAAAAGGATTATTCGAATATATGGTTGATTTTGGGGATCGGAGGTTTGTCCTGGTCGTTAGGAATGTGAATCTTGACTCGATAAAGCTCGACACCAATCATATATCCTGAAGTATCTGAAATAGATCTTTTCTTATACGTGTATCTCGTATGTTTTCAAATTATTTTAATTACTCTCCTATATTTGAAAATAAGTACTCGTACAATTGTAATATGACATTAGGCGCTACCTTTGACGCGGAAAGCCTTCATGATTTAATAACAAGCATAAAGTGTTCAATATATACACAGGATATGTCAAATAATGAGTAGATTTTAAGATACGAATGACTAGGTGATGTCCAGCCTATCATTGAAGTATTCCGAGTATTTCCGAATATCTCATCTGCTTATTTTGTTAATCTCTAATCAAAATAGTTTTTAATTTTTTCAAACGTGATGATTTATCAAAATGGTTATTAAAAAGTAATTTCTTATGTTCATCATCGTTACTTCAGTTCTTCTAAATGATTATAATGTTTATTTACTGATTTTCTACATCATACTTCTACCGGAAGTCTTCTTCGGGACAGAAGACTGCCACTAGCA